GAAAAATACCACTCAGTCCAAACAGAAGTCACCTGGGGAAAGAAACTTTAATCGGCAACTCTCCTGTCCTGATACAAAGTAACAGGGACCTTGTGGTCCTGTAGCTCTACCATGGAAGTAGCTTAGCTTTCACGTCTTCTATGAAGACTAGAATAACCACAAATTGGCCAGTCCAGCAGCATCCTACACAGTGCTGTGAGCTACAGCTCCCAAATGAGTGTATAATCTTACTGAAAAATAGTAACATAATGCACTTATTTGGGAGCAAGTTTTCAGTAGAATACTAGTAGAATAAACTGACCAAAAGTAGAATAGAAACTAAAATAATACATGGTCATACCCCATCCATATTCACATTTATCTGCCCTTCAAGTATTTTTTTGTACCTACTAGATGCCAAATAAAAATCTGGGTTCTGGGGAATCAGCCATGATCAAAACAAATCCCTGCTATCTGTTTTAGAGCATGGGTCAGCAAACTTTTTCTGTGAAGATCCAGAGAGTAAATAGCACAGATATGCAAGCCAAACAGTCTATGTTACAACTGCTCAACCTCTGCTGTTTTAGTGAAAGAAGCCACAGACAATATGTAAATGAATGAGCATGCCTGTGTTCCAGTAAAATTAAAAGAACAGGGAGCAGACAGGATGACCATATAGGGTCTTACAGGCCTGTGACTTTTATTATGACTGAGATGGGGAGTCAGTGGGGTCTTACAGCAGAAGAATGACAACAATTACTCTTAAAAGGCATCCTCATGAAAAAGGACCATTTCAGCTACTATGTAGAGAGTAATCAGTGGAGGGGTAGGAAAACAAGGAGATGAGAAAGGTATAAGCAGAGAGAGCAGTTTAGAAATTGTCGCAAGAAAACTAGGGAGATAAATTCATCTTGCACCAGGATGGTAGCAGCGAATGTGGCAAAGAAGTGATCTAATTCTGATTGCATTTAGAAGATACAGTCGTCATGATTTCTCAATGAACTGGATGTGGAGTGAAAGAAGAGGAGTCATGGATTACTCCAAGGTCTATGACCTGAGCAAGCAGAACAAAGGAGTTGCCTTTGCTGTGATGGCACAGTGCGTGGCAGGGGCCAGGCTGGGACAGAAATCAGGAGTTTGGCTGTGGACATGTTAAGTTTGAGGTGACCTTTATATACTATAATGGATATACTAGGCAGATTTTAGATATATGATTCTGAAATTCAGGAAAGAAGTTATTGGTATAAATTTGGGAATTAAGTTAGTATTTAAAACCATGAGACTGGGTGAGGTCATCTAAAGTGTGAGCGTATATAAACAAGGGAAGAAGTTTAAAATAGGAACCTTTAGTTACGCCAACATTTGGAAGAACCAACAAAAGAAATCACAAGAAGCAAAAAGATAGAAAGAACCTAGAGAGAATGGTGTCCCCAAAAACTAGGGAAACCAGGCTTTGAGAACAACTATTTCAAATATTAGCAATTGGTCCAGTAAATGAGGACTCAAAGTTGACCACCGGATTGACAACAGAGAAGCCGCTGGGGACCCTTGACAAGAACTGTTTCATGAAGTGCTGGGGACCAAAGCCTAACTGTGATACGCTCAGGAGACCGTGAAGCTCAGAGTGGAGTCAGTAAGTGGGCACCCCTCTCTCCTATAGGAAGATGTGGTGTCAAAGGAATTTGGCTGTTTAGATGCAAGATCTTATAGCACATTGGTTTGCTGATAAGGACTTACAATATATTTCAAAATGCCTAACTGTATGGATTAAAGCCACAGACCTGGTCTATCACACGTTATCCTCAGAAAGATAATAAAGTATTTTTCTTTGTCTCTTCATTAGCTTTATAACAAAATTTTACTACCTTTCCCAAGTCCTGGCCCAAATCGCCTACATTAAATGGGCTTTTACTTCGCCTACTGTGCAATTAGATAGGAGAATGCCAGTTCATTTTATGCATTTCCTATTTGCTTAAAGTTCCTACTACCAACTAACTATTTTTGGCAAATTAGAGGGTTCTAGCAGTAATCTGAGGAATTGCTATCATATAGGAAGATAAGTTATCCAAGATGTTTCAGCTGTGTAACATCTCAAACATCTTAAGCTCATATCCTAGTAGCCAATGCTCAGTCTATAACCCAAGGAAAGAATTATTGGCCTCAAATATCACCGAAATAAAATAAGCAAAACCTACTGCAATAGAACCTTGATAGGGACTGCTTAGTTTCCAAATGCTTAATGTAAAAAATAAATCATAGTTCCTAAGTGTTGCTCGCCACATAGACTTTTAGAACTCTGGAATGAATTAAATGGTTCCACTTCACTTAACCAATGATCTGTTTATATTCTTATATGCCAGCTTAGGAACAATGGTATTTCTTTCATATGCTAAATTCTGTATTCTAGGTTCCAAATGACAATTTTGGTGTTTTGCTCTCTGAAGCACATACTTAGAGAATAATGTTTTTTGCCTGGAATTCAAAACACATTTACATCATTACTATGCAGTTCAATCAAGATCTGAATAGTAATGTCTTGGTTTTTATAAACAATAATACTTTTCCTAAGGCAATGCATAGGTAAGGAGAAGAAACCCATTTCATAAAATACAGCACCGGTGTGCTTTAGAGATAGCTGAGAAAAGGGGACGCTCTAAAGGGGAAGACCCTGCAAACAATTTGGGTATCTCTTTAGAGTGCTCCAAACTTGGATGGATTTTTGTTACAAATCACCTTGATTAATGGAACACATTTGCTAAAGTGGTTCTGTAATAGCTACACAATTCTTACAGCCTGAGAAATCCAGCCCAAAAAAACCGGTGGGGGTGAGAAAACCTTAAAAAAGACACTGGCTTCTCTTTAAGGACCAATACCGCCCCTGACCAGAAAGAGTTCCCTTTCTTTTTAAAAATAATAAAGATGAATACATTTTAAGGGAAGTACAATTTGATGAGATAGAAGTGGAAATAATCAGAGATAAGTAGAGGATATTACAGGAGAAGTTGCACCATGGTAAGGACAGACTCTGGGCGGAGCCAGGCTACTTGTGTGAATTCCAAGGGTTTCTCTCATTCAGTGTTTGAAATTGGGCAATTTAAACAACCTCCCTGTATTTAGTTTTTTTACATCTGTCAAATACTACTACTACCTATCTCATTGAGCTGATGTTTTGATGATTAAATAAATTAACTCTTGTAAAGACTTTCAACAGTGTCTGGTACAGAGCACATACCTTATGTTTGCATACATATAAACATACAAACCAAAGTGAATGGAATGCACTGGGGAATGAAATGGCAGTGTCTTCTAATTTATCATTCATCAAACATAAAAATTCAATGAATGTTTTCCTTAAGTAGAGTATTCAAAAACAAAATCTTTATCTTACAGTCCTCTGATTGTCTTTTCTGATTACTTAGTGGAGATTTCATCTAAATCCTTTTGTCCTGATATTCTTCCTCTAATCACTCAAAAAGGAAACAACAACAATGGTGTAGGCTGGCTTTTAAGTACATAGATCCTGGATGCTATCATTTATAGGTTGTATTGATTTGTCTGTAAACTTTCTGGTGTCAGGTATGGGCTTGTTGCTAAAGCAATTCAGGAGTTACTAGAATGCTTTATGAAATGATAACAGTCATATGAAGGTGCAACTGTTATGTAAAAATCTGACATTTTTTAAGAATTAAAGCATAGTGTCCTTGATGAAGTCCAAAGAAAAACAAGTTATCTGATACCTTACTATCATCTTCAACAGCATTATCACCATCAGCTAACTATCACTAGTATGTTTAACATTACAGTAATAAACATCAAAAACATTTGCAGAGCTGAATCATAGTCTATTATGGATGGTAAATAAATGGACTGATTATGTAATAGTCAATTGATCAAACTCACTATAGAGCAATCAGAGGCTATTATAGTTCAAAATAAATTTACAATGAAGACAACTTAACTCTTAATTATATGCTTACATTGTGGTTGAAGATAGAGGTAAAGTTAGTTAATAGATGTAATAGCTATAATATAAATTTGATAGTGACACAGAAATTTTAAATAAAAGTAGAAAAGTTACCATTATCAAAGAAAATTAAACGCTGATAAAGCAAAAGCCACTCTCCTCTGCTGAAGCTCTGTCATGGCAGCCACGTGACTGGTGAGAAGAGGCAGCACATCCCATCTGCCCCTCGCTCGTCCGTCCTGCAGCTTTTCCTTTCTCTAACTGGGTAGCTAAGTTGGTAAGACCAAAATATACACAATTTCTAGTCTAAAAATTTAAGTAGGACTTTTAAAAGCTCAACTACAGGCTTTATTTGATTTTACTATTGTAGATTTTCCTTTCATAAGTTAGTTGAAAATTTGTCTAAGCCAGGAACCCAGATTGCATTTAGTTGTCATTATCTCCTTTGTCTTCTCCAATCTATCCCCGTTCCTGTCTCTCCTTGTTTTTCATGACCTTGGCATTTTTGAAGAGTACTGGTCAGTTATGTTGCACAGTGACCCTCAGTTAAGGTTTGCCTGATGTCTTCTCACAATTAGACTGAGATTACACCCGCTTTTGCCAGAATACCACAGAAGCGAAGTGCCTGAGAGCGCCTCAGTCCAGGGGCCACACCACACTGATCTTGCTATTGGTGAAGTTAGCCATGATCCCTGGTAAAGGGGGTGAGTGGCAGGTTTCTTCTCCATGAAGTTACTATTTTTCCCTTTGTAATAAATATCTTGAGAGAGATACTCTGAGACTATGCAAATAAATTATTATCTCTCAAATTTTGGCCCGATATTTTGACACTTATTGGTGAATCTTGCCTGCAACAACTACTGAGATGTTGATAAAGAGTTGTAAAAGGAACTAAAACATAAAATACAATGGCCAAACAGTCCTTGATACAGACATACTTAAATTCCACCGAATGCGGCACTTTAACTTATATTCAAAATAGAAATGTCATTTTCTTTTGTTTTCAATTAATGTTAATTATTAAACCAATGAATAACATAATGAAAATGTTACTTACATAACTATGGCTTTTAAAGAAATCTGATGGACTACTGATGAGCATTTTGTCTCCTTCCAAACCAATCACTCTTTTACAAATATTTGATTTTGGATCACTTGGGCTTTTTGCAATCACGATGTCACCTCTGACGGAAAAAAGTCAAAGAAATGTCAGTGCTATTCATTGAGCATAAACACACACATGGCGTTCTTATAAAGCAGCCTGAAGCCATTCCCTTTACCCTCTCACAGACTGACCCTCGCATACATTTACCAGCTTTGAGAACCTCTGTGACTGACTTTTATGCATTAGAGTCTCACAATGAGGGTGATGCAAAAACTATTAGATGATCCTAAAATTTCTGATGATTCCGTAAGTGTGATCTTCCTTTGCTGTATCCACTCTGTGTTACTCCTGTGTCCAAATTTTTAGAAACAAAACTATGGGAAAACAATCCCATGTAAATACCATCAAGTTACAGAAGTAAATTTTACTGCCCAGCCAGGAGTACTGATGGATTCTAGAGCACATAAAAAGATAGAAACATGATCTATGTATCAAGGAATTACAGCACATAAATTATATAACCTGGACAATTTACTATACAGTTTAAAAAAACATATTTGAGGGAAAATATCAGAAGACACAACTAATAAAATGCTAAACAAATAAAATGCTAAAAGCTGCCCAAACATACACTACAACAAATAAATTGGCTGGTGTGGCTCAGAGGACTGAGTGCCAGTCTGTGAAAGAAAAGGTGGTCAGTTTGGTTCCCAGTCAGGGCACATGCCTGGGTTGCCGGCCAGGTCCTCAGTTAGGAGTGTGAGAGAGAGGACTGACTGATGTTTCTCTCACACAGTGATGTTTCTTTCCCTCTCTTTCTACCTCCCTTCCCCTCTCTCTAAAAACAAATAAAATTTAATAAAAAAATAAATTGGCATGATTCACAAAAATGTAACAATCCACATGTATTAGAAAAATAAGAAAGATGTTCAAAAGTAGAAAGGAAGAAAGAAACAAAAATATAGGACTGATGTCTCAAATAGAACAAAATAGTCTTTCGGTTAAAATGAACAATAAGTGAATTCTGCTAAGACACATATTCGAAAGGATTTAACCTATTTACTTATCTATGTCTATTACAGAAATACTTTGATGTTACTACAAGCTTTTGCAATTAAGAGTCAATATCTTACCTTAACATTCTCTCTAATGTATATTACATTTTATAAATTAGGTGCTTATTAACTATTTGTTGAAAGAATAAATAGTAGTGAGACTGTCATTGTCCCCAGTAAAAATGTTCTGAGCATTTGTCTGAAAATCGATCCATGTGCCAAATATGCAGACTTTCATTCTGCCTAAAATCGATGGCTATTCTAACTTTAGAAATAGGCAGCACATAAGTGTCTGAAATCTCGGAGCTCTGTGTGCTACAGATAAAAGAAAAAGAATACTCAGGACAGTAATTATTTTTAAAATAGAAATTACCAACTGACTACCTTGGCTGTAAAAGTTACTTTGGTATGTCTCATAGAAATGCCAAATTTTGAGCTGTTTTTCTATCTAATGGGCCCCTAAATGAACAGAATACAAAATGAAACCCTCAAAGAATCTTAATTGACTGAACATAATTATTTGTACAATATTACCCATCTGAATACAAAGAGTATCTATCAACAAAAAAAACACAATATTGAGCTATTCATTCAAAAACTATTTAGTCAGCAAGGCTGGCTCCTTGTTAAGGAAGCTCACGAACTAGGAGAGCAAACTCAGGTTATGAGCATGGAGAGCAAACATGTTTTCCTGTCTCAGTGAGGGTAGATTTCCAATTAACCTAAAGACTGTATTATGATATTTTGACATAAGTTGAAAAGAAGCTAGAACACAACCTGTTATACATGTTTTATTCTATAACCCCCATATATATTAAGTAGGTATCCTAAAGTTGTTATGGTTAGAACATCTGAGGAAGAATTACCTAGGGACCATGTTAGACCATAGAGCTTGACTGAGATATAGTTTCTTTGTACAGACTCTAAGATGGTAAAATCAGTACATGCAAAAAACACACTACAGAGAAGGTCAGTAATGAAAGAGGAGTATCTAAACCTACTTATGCCATAAACTAAATACCAGCTGGATTGAGTCAAATCTGTAGTTAATGGAGATAAAAGCTGGTATCAATTTATATTTTCAGAATTATGAAAAACTAATGGACCCAAAATTGTAGGGAATCAGAGAGGTGCCCTTTAGAAAATACATAAAATTACTAATACTTGACATCCATTCAGAAGGAATAATACTCACAGAGTTAACTATAATAAACAGTATCAGAAGATTGGAAACACCATTTAAAATAGTATTTAAAAAGATTTAGTGGCAAACAATATATGCCAAAGAGTTTTTCAACTTAATTAATCAGAAGACTCATAGCAGATAAGATTCTTCATTCCCACTATATACAGTGCTATAGTTTGAAAAGCATCAAGTGCTCATCATAGGCTATACAGAATGACAGTCAGTAATACAAATAGGATTATTTTAAAAATTTAGAAACCAAATCAATGATTTGGATATGTAATGTAGTTCTGAAGTCTCCAGTACTTAACTCAAAACATTCTAGCCACACACACCCCACCCCAGAAGAGTCAAGTAGGCTTGAATGTACATAATAAAAGCACCTGCTACCTATTTTAGACAATGATGCAAAGGACATAATCACCCAACAGACTCTGCATGTTACAGAAACTATTAAAATTTCTCAAACTGTGAGAGAACTTTATCTACCTTGTCACTCTTTTGCATTTATAAAAGAGTTCTTAGATAAAGTTAAGAAACTGCAGGAAAAAAACACAATGTGTGTGTTTCCACCATAAATTTAATATTATCTATGACAAATATACCTTTGGATACCATGAAAATGTCGACTAAGATTTTCTGCAAAGACAATATCTGAATTTTGAATTGTAGGCTCCATTGATGGTCCAGAACACTGAAAAGAGATAATTTTGTAATTTGAGTTGAAAATCTTTTAAATATAACACAAATCATCCGAGCAGGCTTAAGAGAGAGAAATCAAGCAAATGTTCTTCAAGCTTGGAAGGTAACTTCTAATAAGCTGGCATCTCCCAGGTAAGTTCAGCTCCACAGAGTGGCCACCCACTCTGGAAACATGGGCAAATATGTTAAGAATGGTCTATTGATATTACATAGAATATGTGAATAAAATACCTATGTTTCTAAATTTGGACCAACCTATGGGAAGTAAGCTCTTGAGGCCAGGGACTTTGTCTCTCATGTTGCCAGTTTTATAACCAACGTCAAGAACAGTACTTGCCATAAAGCTGACACTCAAAAAACATGTTAAATGAATGACTTATTTATTTTATTATTATTGTCAAATATCCAGTGGCCATTATATGATTCATTAGATGGTATCATATTATTCTCAATGAGTTGAGGCCTTTCCTTTTCTTCCAAGAGAATAGCTTACTCGTTGATGGGGCTGTAACTTGTATTTTATACTGAAAAATATTGGCATAATAAGAAGTACTTTAAGATACCATATTAGTATGTCTTAAAAATAATCTTCATATATACCTCAAAACTATAATAAATGATCATTGCCACCTTAAAAACTCAAAACACAACAGTCAACATTACTCCACTTACATGTAAATAACTTTTACTAAAATCTTCCTACCTAGGCAGAAAATAATAAATACTACAATGAAAGTTTGTTTACTACCTCTGTAGCCCATTGGAAATTTAAAAATTCAAAGAGGGGAGTTGCAGTTAAATATATTTATTTGTATTACTCCAGCTCAACTTGAAGTAACATGACTGACTCTATTAGGATAAACCTGATAAAAACAGCAACATCAACAAAAACCCACTGGACAGTCAATCAATTATTTCATTTACATGAAAAAAGGTTAGTATAGTCATGGTTGATAGACTCTTAATACACTATTTTTAAAAAATCCTTTGTGAGGCAGCATCCTCAACATTTTAATATTGACACAAAGGAGAATAATCATGTGTTGTAATGACAGTTAAACACAATGGTTAAGAGTAGGTGTTTTGCAAACTGGAGAAAGCTGTGTTAAAAGCCCCAGTCTACTGAGTAACTGTGGGACCTGGAGCAAGTTATTTAAGCTTTCTGAGCCTCAGTTTCATCATATGTATAGTATATTTCTAATAAGTATCTCAAAGAATATAAATATTAAATGTGTTAATATGCATAAAACATCAAACACATCCTGGAACATTTTAACATTCAAAAAATGGTAAAAACCCTATTATTCTTAGAGTATTAATAAGGGCCTTTTGTGCTCATCAGAAACAATACAAATGCATTGTCTTATATCCAAAATTTATGAAGATAATATGTTTTAGTCAAACTTTATTCATTAAATCAATATATTCAATTATAATAAAGGGAAAAACTCATTTTCCTTCAATTTTAAAAGGTATATATTTAAAATGATTATTTTCTTGAATATAAAAACTTACCATGACAACACCACCAACGTATTCAAAAGCACAATGAGCTATACAGCCATACTGAATAGTATAGCCAACAAGTCGAAAGGTTTTTCCCAGAACACCACGAAGCATAGTTCTATGTAGACTCTGTCACCATTGGCCTGATGGTAAATTTTAAAAAGTTTCATGAACAATACTATTTTTAAACACTTAGGAAATAGCTCTATTGTAAAATATTTATAATCATCCAGAATGTACTAAACATACAGTTTGATGCAGAAAAGCAACTGCTTATTTTAATTTCTGCTAAAGATATTTTAAATGACAAATTATGGCCACTTAGTATTGATATACTGAAAAGAAATTATATCCAAATATCACTGGGTTTATATATGAATTAGGTAACTAGTAGACTCTGAACTTATCTGTCCCCTTTCATACCCTAGTTATTTCCTGGTATTAAGGCAGACACCTTTGGAAAGATATTAACTCTTTCAAAGTACTAATCATAGTTTTTCACATTGTTTCCTGCTATACTACATCAGTTCTTGTCATAATATGATATAAACGAAAAAGCACTAGAATAGATATGTGGAAATTCAAATATTAAATTAGTTCTTTTATTAACTTGTATATTTCCAATGAATTACTTCTCTGAGCCTTCAAAAAACTGGAAATATCTCACAGAATGGATCTGAGAATCAAATTCAGTAACATGTGAAAGTGCTTTGTAAATTATAAAGTTACATTGTTTTCGGATCTTAACTATTGATATAATAATGAACACATGAATACTATGCAATAGCATGAAGAACTACAGCAAGTGATTTTAAAACTACATAAAATTAAAATATTAATAATATTCATCCAAAACATTCCTAGTATCTGATCTTTCCTTTCTATTTACCTGTTCCAACTATGTTTCAAGCATTTCTCAAATGGTGGCCTAAGGTTTACACATAGGCTACTATGCACTGTTCCCAGGTAAAGTTATTAAAACATATTAATAAAAATATAATATATGCTCAATACTTGCTATATGTCAAGCCTCACAATTAGCCTCTGTAAGGTAGACATTATTACTATCATCATTTCATAGATAAAAAAAGGAGCTAAGAGTAGTAAATTTACATGCTGAACACCACAAAATTGGAAAATGGAGCAAGAGCTTAATCACTATTTACTGATTCCCTATTTCTCCCCTGCTCCCATAACCTCAACAGTTCTCTGTTACATTAAGTACAGATTACTTAAGACTCATTTTCACAATTCTTGACATTTTTTAGTAGATTTGTTGTTGATTGTACTGTTATATGTGTATTTCAGATAGTACAAATGAGTAAATATCAAGATTCTCAATGTCAGAGAAAGATGCTATAACCATAGAATGGGAGGTTAGGAATGAGCTGGAGGTATCAAAACAAAGCTAACTAAATAAATTAATATGTGTGTTTGTCTGTCTGACCGCCTGCTTATATAAAATGCTATCCTATCTGTCCACTAAAAAGACAACTGAAAGAAGCAATGACACTAAATAGGTAATGCGCATACTCAGGAGGACAATTTTTGGTTTCCAAAATCATTCCCCACTAGAAGTAACAGTATGGGGCAGAAAGCAAGCACATGCTCAACGACTAATGGAGACATAGGAACCATTTTGAAGGGTCTCCAACTAGTCAAATTTGGGATTTAAAAATAAAGTAATATGGTAATGGATAATATGGAGGAACAGAGAAAGCTAAAGTGACAAAAAAATTCATTGCAAAATCCAGATGAGTGTATATAAATGTCCGTAGTACTATTCTGTCAACTGTACTACAGAACAGAATTAAAAAAAAAAAAATCACTGAGGGAAAAAGAGAGTCCTCATAGTCCTTCAATCATTCAGTAACTATTTATTGAGCTTCCACTCTATGCCAGATACCGTGTTCAGCCCTGAAACCAAGTCAGTCTGGAAAAAAGTCCAACCATTGTTAATATATTTAACAATCAATTAACAAGAATGGTTTCCCTGACAATGATGTAACCTGGCAGCCAAGAACAGCGGACTGGAATGCTCATGTGTGAACAATGACAACTTCACTGTACTAGTCAGTGGGGGTGGTAGATGCTGTTGAGTGACCATGTGTATTGTGTGGCCATTGCATTCAAAATGACTAAGGGAGTAGAGCAATGAATCTGCATCAAATTATGTGTTAAGCTTGAACATTGTTCTGTGAAAACTATTTGGATGACACAGAAGGCCAACAACTATGGGCAACTGGTGATTAGCACCTTCCTCAAGATAACACACCCACTCGTGCATCACGTCTTGTGCAGAGTGTTTTGATGATACATCAAATCACCCAGGTGACTCAGCCCCTCTATAGCCCAGATTTGCTGCCCTGGGACTTCTGCCTTTTCTCAAAACAGAAATCACCTTTAAAAGGGAAGGGAGTTCAGACCGTTGATGAGATTCAGGAAAATACAAAGGAGTAACTGATGGCGACTGGGAGGACTGTGTGAGGTCCCACAGTGCCTACATAGAAGGGGACTGAGGCGTCATTGTCCTATATACAATGTTTCTTGTATCTTCTTCAATAAATGTCTCTTTTTCATATTACATGGCTGGATATCTTGTGGACAGACCTCGTACAAGAGTGAACCTGATGCCTGCCTTTATAGAGCTTACGGTTTACTGGGTCACACATCACACATAAAAACTAAATATATAAACACATAAATATACTAATGAATTTCCATTAAAAAATAGGGCAGTGATAAAGAATGATGGTTGGTACATATTTTCTTTAGGATGAATCAGGAAAAATTTCTTTAAGGAAATCTTACTGATGTTACACTCGGAAAGAAGAAAATAATTACGGAAAGGGTGGGAAGAACATTATGGTCAGGTGAAACAACATGCATGTGCTCAAGGAACTAAGAAAAGGCAGGAGAAATGTGTAAAGGACATAAAATGAGACTAGAAAGCTAAACAAGCTCACTCAAGGTTTTGTAGAAGTTTTTATTTCATTCCAACAGTAATGGGAAGCCACTGAAGGATTTTAAACAGAACAGCATGATCAGATCTACAACCTAAGATCACTTTGCTTGCTAGGCAGAAAAAGGACTGGAATGGGGGAAAGGATTAGAACTACAGGAAGGGCAATGAGGCTGGACCCCATACAGTGTTGGCTGCAGAAATGGAGAGAAATGGGTGGATTTGAGAAAGTAGGAGACAAAAGAAATGTCAAGGAAAAGGAAAGACTAGGATGACTTCAAGTTCTGGATTACTCTGGATTGAGTAACCAGGCAAATGGAGGTCTATCCACATGGCTCTACTCATACCCTCATTTGAAGTAGAAAGTGAGGGTCCACGGTTAATCATATTTGCTATATCTGTGAGATATCCAAGTGGACATGTATGATGCTGAGGCTCTGGAGCTCAAAGGAATTTTCATATATGGAAAGTTTTGAAAAAATAATGCCTATTTCAGTAAGTATTGAACTGCAAACAAGAGAAACCTAGAAAAACAGGAATTTAAACAAGGGACTCATCTTCTAACAACACTAGCTGCTACACCCAAGTACAGGCAGGAAGAAGGAATAAGTATCAAGAGTTTACTCCCTACTAATTTTTTGTTTTTTTATCTAGGAAAAACTACCTCATTCCATCTACATCTAACGTGCCAAAACTATGTAACTAAGAACAAGGGGTGCTGGGAGAATATTATTGTTTTCATTGTAAGTTTGTAGCACTCTTTTACCTTTAAAAATCGCCCTATCACCCGAAAAAAGTTTAAACTTCTTTAAAAAGTATGAGAGGGAGATGTGGAAAAGGAGAAAACATACACAGTCAACTCTTTGGAAAAGCTTGGCTTTGAAGGCAAGCTAAGCAGTAGAAGCAGGTTTTTCATCCTCGGGGTGTGGGGGCGGGCAGACAATGCTTTGTTGTGAGCAGCTATCTTATGCACTGTAAGATTTTAGCAGCATCCCTGACCTCTAAATGCCAGCAGCCCCTCTTCCCCAGTTGAGACAAACTAAAATGTCTCAATACAATGCCAAATGTCCCTTGAAATAGAAAACTGCCCTTGGTTAAGAACCACTGCAGCTGAGTAGTAACAGGAAGTATGTAGCAGTGAGCATTTTTTTTTTTTTAATTAAAAACATAGTAGCACATGCTGGAGAACCAATGGTAACAATCCCATAAGGAGTGAGGCCACTGATGAGGAGAGAATACTTCAAAGAGAGGAATCAAGAGAGAAATAGACAGATGATTGAACACTGACATAAAGAAGACAAATGGAGGGACTTAATGCCAGTTTTGAGAGTAACTTATACCAGATTAACCTTCTTGGTGAAAACAATAAAACAATCATGAAGTCTGGATAAAATATACCAGTTCACTAAAACAGACATAAAAATTGGAAAGGAAAAAGTTAGAAGATTTCTCTACATAGAAAATGAGAAATGAGATTTCTCTACATAGAAAAATCAAAGGAAACATATTGTATAAGACAATTACAATGCTGAGAAAATAAAGATAACCTAAACAAATGGAAAGAAAAACTATGTTTATGGATTGGAAATTTTTTCAGGGTTATCAATTCTCCCTCAAATTGGTCTATAGACTCAATGAAATTCCAGTAGACTATTTCTTTTTTCAACAGAAAATGGCAAGTTCATTGTAAAACATGTATGGAAATGCAAAAGACCTGGAATAGTCAAGGCAAACATTAAGACAAACAAATCTTGAGGGACTTATTTCAGAAATCAATGTTCATGATAAGCTTACAGTAACTAAGACAGTCTTATATTGGAGCAAATCTAGACAAACAGGCCAATGCAATACAATCAAGAAATAGGCCCATACATATATGGCTATCTTATTTACAACAAAGATTCTAGTCAATTTCAGTGAGAAAAGGATGGTCTTTTCAATAAATGGTGCTGGGTCAAAAAGATATGCATACTGGAAAAAACCCTTACCCATTGCCTCACAAAATATAAAAATTAATTTGAGCTAGATTACAGATATAAATATGAATGCTAAAGCAAAAAACTTTTAGATAAAAAATGAAGATATTTTCATTACTTTGGGTAAGGCTAATATTTCTTAAACAGGATGCAAAACCACTAAACCTAAAAGACCAATCAACTTGATTATATTAAAACGAAAAAC